GAGGTTCACAAAAACAAAACCCACACAAAAAGATTTTGAACAGCATGCATCAACTTTTTGATGGCATTATCGAACGTCCTGATATTTTTCATACACCAATCTACCAGTGTATGGCCAGCTTTAGGGGCCATTCACACCACATCATCTCCAGACCAGACCATATCCCTATGCCATCTCTGGCCTCTGTTCACACCAGTCCTGTCCATTCCAGACCAGAAAAATACTGCGCGTCTCATTTTGTTTGGTCTCCTCGAATGCACTGGAACTTCGGGGCAAATTTCACATCATTTTCCAGACCAGATCTGGTCCGGAAAATGGTGTGAACCTGCCCTCAGACCGTGTGCGGGAAATGCTGACGAGACTCCACAAGCAATGCACAGGAGAATAGCAATCAGAAGAAATTCCTCATTCCCTCCACTCACCTGGACTCCGGCCCGGCTCAGGTGCACCAACACGGCGGAGGATTCGTGGATTTCACTGCCGTCGTACACCCCGCACCCGGAGAGGATCACTGCCACCTTCTTGGACATTCTGAATGAGCAGTTTGGGCTACGATGTGACTCAGGGAACCCAACAAGGACTGCACAGAGCCAGGTGAGTCTCACCTTTATACACACAGCACAGAGGCGTATATGGGTGGAGCATCTACCTGAGAGGAGGAAATGGCTGCGAGTCGTCTGGAGGAAGAATGATCTCACTTAGTAATTCATTTCCTTGTGCTGCCAGTAATTAACCCCTCGCAGCACTTGACTCATTCAGCCGGACTTGTTCTGTAATGCTGAAATCGTTTCGTAGCTTCTCCCACCCACCACTACCAGCTAAGGGTAGGCCACCTTAGCACTCCAGCCATGATGAAACTGCAAATCCCATCATGCTTCTGCCTCTGGGGTAATACCTGTGGCCATCAGGCTTGCAATGCGGGGTAGGCAACCTCAGCACTCCAGCTGTGATGAGACTGCAAATCCCATCATGCTTCTGCCTCTGGGGGTCATGCCTGTGGCCATCAGGCTTGCAATGCCTCATGGGACTTGTAGTTCAACAACAGCTGAAGTGCCGAGGTTGCCCACCCCTGAGCTGCGCCGTGACAGGGTGGCTGTAAATGATAGGGTGAGGGAGTAAAATGCTCGATGCGACGCAGCGACAAGAGGGAACACTTTCATTCGGGGCCCATTTAGGGGGACCTGCACAAGGTAAATGGGGTAACAGTTGTGGGGAGACGTGAATGGAGGGTGGGGGCTTGGTGCCACGTGATGAAATACACAAAGACGCATGTTACCTGCGATGTTCCATGTGCTCCCATTGAAGTCTATGAGGCACCAAGTTAAGCGCCAAGTCACACGGAAACGCCTTGCACAGGTGTGAACGGGCCCCATGGAGAATGATACTGAGGTTCCTATTGTCGCGGGGCGGCCGAAGCGTTTCCAATCACACAAGTGTGAATGAGCCCTAACTCTACTGTGCGTATGAAATGCCGATGAGACTATTAGATTTATCCGACCCCCAGATACTTATTATTTCTGGAACGGTCGCAGTTGACCCGATTTGCTAACAATGGCGCACCAGTCCCGAGCTCACAGAATTTGTTATGTGCGCAGACAAGTTGCAACATCCAACGATACCTCCCACGCTCCAAAGACATGGCGGAGGGTTAATTGACTCCTGTCTACATTGGCCCCCAGTATGTGACATGGGGAGCTTAGATTGTAAGCTCCTTGGGGGCGGGGACTGATGTGAGTGTACAATATATGTAAATTGTTGGCGCCTTATAAATACCTACAATAATACCTACAATAAAAAAATAAATGATCATTTCCTCGCGTTCCGCTGATGTTGCTGTTTGATTTACTCATATTTGAGAGTTGAGTGTTTGTGTTCTGTGGAAATTCCCCAGGGAACGTTCCTGAAGGGAAGACGCCCAGGTTTAAGGATTACGTCATGTGACCCATATATCCGACTTCCCGAAGGAACTTTGGCTGGTGATATGAAGTTCACTACCACATGCTGAGCGGTGAGCCAACGGTGCTCTAAACACAGAAATGCGCTGTGTGTAATCTCTAGGACAGATTCAATTCTGTATGCAATTTCATGGATACAGGTGCGTCCCTCTAAATTTCTCTGCCTGAGGCTGGGGGAGGCGGGGGCTAATGGCGGTCCACGTTACCATGCTTTAGCAGCACGCCTTATATGGAGCGGTAAAGGTGCACAGTACCTCTGTCTGTCATCCCACCCAGCTCACTGACGTCACTGGCTATCAGGAGCTGGGTAGTAAGGCCAACCAGAGCTTCCCACTCAGCTCCTGGCAACTAATGATGGCAATGAGCCGGTCAGGATGCCGGCTAGAGCGTCACAGCTTGCTAAGAAGCTACCATAGTAACCTGGGACGCCTTGGTTGGAATGATGCCCTCCATGTGACCCAATGAGGATGTTATAGACACAAAGGATGCAACTCCTTAGGTGGGACTCTCCATATTACTGGCCATGGAGGAAGGTGGGACCCTCCATATTACTGGCCATGGAGGAAGGTGGGACCCTCCATATTACTGGCCATGGAGGAAGGTGGGACCCTCCATATTACTGGCCATGGAGGAAGGTGGGACCCTCCATATTAAAGGCCATTGAAGAAGGTGGGACTCTCCATATTAATGGCCATCGATGAAGGCGTGACTCTCCATATTAATATCCATCAAGGAAGGTGGGACACTCCATATTAACAGCCATCAAGGAAGGTGGGACTCTCCATATTAATGGCCATCGATGAAGGCGTGACTCTCCATATTAATATCCATCGAGGAAGGTGGGACACTACATATTAACGGCCATCGAGGAAGGTGGGACACTCCATATTAACGGCCATCGAGGAAGGTGGGACTCGCCATATTAATGGCCATCGATGAAGGCGTGACTCTCCATATTAATATCCATCGAGGAAGGTGGGACACTACATATTAACAGCCATCGAGGAAGGTGGGAATCTTCATATTAATGGCCATCGAGGAAGGTGGGTCTCTCCATATTAATGGCCATGGCGGAAGGTGGGACTCTTCATATTAATGGCCATAGAGGAAGGTGGGACTCTCCGTATTAATGGCCATGGAGGAAAGTGGGACTCTCCATATCAATGGCCATGGAGGAAGGTGGGACTCTCCATATTAGACTCTCCATATTAATGCATATGGAGGAAAGTGGGTCCCTACAAATTAATGGCCATGGAGGAAGGTGGGTCTCTCCATATTAATAGCCCTCGAGGAAGGTGGGTCTCTCCATATTAATGGCCATCGAGGAAGGTGGGACTCTACATATTAATAGCCCTCGAGGAAGGTCGGTCTCTCCTAATTAATGGTCAGTGAGGAAGGTCGGTCTCTCCAAATTATTGGTCATGGAGGAAGGTGGGACTCTCTATATTAATGGCCATCGAGGAAGGTGGGACTCTCCATAATAATGGCCATGGAGGAAGGTGGGACTCTCCATATTAATGGCCATGGAGGAAGGTGGGACTCTCCATAATAATGGCAATGGAGGAAGGTGGGACTCTCCATATTAATGGCCATGGTTTTGGAATGGAATGTCCAACAAGCTCCTATAGATGTGATGGTCAGGTGACTATAATCGGATACATTGTATATATGAGAAAAATAAATACGAAATGAATGCAATGACATCTGATGGGAGTGATTGTCTCGTCTATAGTCATTATCAGGGAGTGAGGCGTCTGCAGTGTGATGACATCTGTTTGGAACGATATCACGACGTGTATGAATAATAACATTTATTGACAAAGCCATTCAGTGCTAATGTATGAAGGATGAGATGTGATGAAGCTGTAGATTGATTACAGGCAATATGCTGGAACACATTTCATGTATTTCTCACTTTCCTCTACAGCAGTGGTTCTCAACCTGTGGGTCGGGACCCAAAAGTGGGTCGCGACCCACAGTTGAGGGGGTCCCCACATGCCTTGTGCTGCTCTAGGTAAGAGGCTCCTCAGCCTCCTCCTAGCACAGCAGTGTCAGTTCTCCTAGATGGTGCTGCAGCAGCGGTGGCCAGAGAGGATCAGAGAGAGGGGAGCAGGCTGAAGTGAGGGGAGGTGAGTGCTTGATCACCACAGAGCCCACACTGGACGCCTACAGAGAGTCCCACTAGCCACCTGAGAGCCCGCATTGCCTCCCGAGGGCCCACACAGATACTAGTATTGGTGCATCCCTAAATTTTACGGTTGGGGGTCACCACAACCTGGCAAATGTTACCAAGGGGTCCCGGCCCTAGAAAGGTTGAGAACCACTGCTCTACAGGGATCTATATTCTGTGATTTCATTGTATGAGTTTCATATAACAAAGAGGAGATGGTTTTCTTTATCACAGTTCATGGTGTCCAAGTTTGTTTAAAGGAGAACTATGAGGTGAGTGAAAATCACTCAGCCTCATAGTTCTAGCCGACGTGTGACAAAGACTGTCACGGGTCGGCTCAATAGATCGGGAAGTGAGGGAGCACATACTGTCGCTCGCTCACTTCTCGATCCTGTCCCTGCAGAGAGCAGGGTACAGCTGGCCTCTAGATAGGCAGAGCCTGCTGTCAATCATGCAGCTGGGTGGATCTTGACAGTAATTTGTGTCCTCCCGTTACCCTAAGGAGAACTATGTGGAAAAACACTGACCCCATAGTTCTCCTTTAATATGTAACATAACTCTTGAATCCCTGCCATCAGGTATATTTTTGCATTTGCATGCTGAGCAATGTGTCAGCGTGTCCCTTCCAGGTATTTATTACCTCTCACAGAGATCACAGGACTCCCCCTGACAATGCCGTCATCTGCTTTTCTCTCTAGGTCAACACTATCTTAATCTAGGCATCACCCAGGGTCACCATCTACTTCCTGCAGTGAGATGGCGGCTCCGAGATAAAAAAAAACAGTCATGAAAATGACTGGAACACAATTCAATGGAGGGGACAGAGCGCTGTCATCCTGTAAGAGGAAGTTCTTGAACAAGGACATTCATGGCAGGATCATCAAGTAATATTTTTTGATAGATGCAGATTTAAAAATATTGAAATTACTTTAAATTTTACATTAACATGTTAGGATTATATAAAGTTTTAGTGATTGGGTTTATTTCTGATTTACCTCTTAATCAAAGAGTTAAAATAATATTGCCCAAACTTCATTATATTTTCCCTTTTAGGAGCTCAACTGGCTAGCTTATCAAAACACCCCTTAGGTTGCTTTCTATCCCCCCTTTCCTTTTTCTTCCCCATACATACAGAAGGGTCTAATGCTCCTTCAGTCTAGGGGGATATAACACTGGACATCCTAATTTCTCGCTCTTCCACCAGCCAGCGCTATGCCCCGAATTCCACCTCAGCCCCAGAATGTGGGTAGGCCTTCAACGTCCTCACATACAATGAAGGAGTGCTGGTCCCAGGGCAGCCATCAGGGGGGTACGGCCGACACTCATGTAAGGGGCCCGGGCAGCTTAGGCGGCCTGCCCGGGTCCCTTACATGACTATCGGCTGACGGTGAAGGGCGAGGGGGTGGAGGAAGGAAGGAAGGGAGGAAGGAAGGAAGGAAGGGAGGGAGGAAGGGAGGGAGGGAA